TACCCTGGTCAACTCGGTCCACTACCCTGGTCAACTCGGTCCACTACCCTGGTCAACTCGATCAACTCGGTCAACTCGATCAACTCGGTCAACTCGGTCCATACCCGTGAGTCAACTCAGTCAACTCGGTCAACTCGGTCCACTACCCTGGTCAACTCGGTCAACTCGGTCAACTCGGTCAACTCGGTCAACTCGGTCCACTACCCTGGTCAACTCGGTCAACTCGGTCAACTCGGTCAACTCGGTCAACTACCCTGGTCAACTCGGTCAACTCGGTCAACTCGGTCAACTCGGTCCACTACCCTGGTCAACTCGGTCAACTCGGTCAACTCGGTCCACTACCCTGGTCAACTCCATCAACTACCCTGGTCAACTCGGTCAACTCGGTCCACTACCCTGGTCAACTCGGTCAACTCGATCAACTACGGTCAACTCGGTCCACTACCCTGGTCAACTTGGCCCAATCGGGTTGGGGTACCAAATTCCACCCAGCCTGAAGAAATAAGGACAGTCGTGTGAAGTGCCTTTCCCCTACCACCATTCTGCCAAACGTCGTTTTATTCTGCCTTGTAGCAACAGTTTAATCCAGCAGCCAAGTGAGAAATTATAACATCGTTCTTAAAGGATGAAACTGAGACTTCGTGAAGGAGGAGATCTGAAGACTTTCGCATAAATGATGGATGGATCGATAACACTGCCGTAACAATACGTGGCAAAAAGGATTATCTTTTACATCGTTATCCCGGAGTAAAAAGTTTATGACTCCTCGTTACAGACCCTGTGTAAGAACAGTAAAGCTGCCCAGCTGTGCAGACTATCAAGTTGTAAACCTGGATTTCCCAATCATCTCTTTATAGAGTTGTTTCCTGCTACTCAATGTCATTTACAAATACACATTTATGACTGGAGGTCTTTGCTACTGGCGTGTATTACCCGGAATTATTTACATAAAAGGTTGCATTGATTAAATCACCACTGAAGGCGATAGCATCACAGTATGACTAATCATAGTCGTAATGTGTTGCTGAATAGACTAAATTTCATAACATCACTAGGTAAGAACATATTTTTATGATATTCCTTTAAATTGAAAATAAAACTGCATGTTCCCATGTCTCCTTAGCAACAATAAATGTCAGACGTTAGAATCTATTTTGGATGTCGCATCTTGCGTCCCTTGACAGTGAGTTTATCCAATTGGAGCCTCTCCCCGACATATACATATGCTTCCAACACTAGAGGTGTAAATGATTCTATTCTATTCTATTCTATTCTATTCTATTCTATATGATACTGGACAAAGCCCTATCTAGGGCATCCCACCCAGTGACATGTGACTTGTCCAACCACAAATACAAAAGTACAGATGACACCATTACTGTATATTGCTTTATTGACAACAATGCAAAGACACATACTGTGTAACACACAGGACAAGTAATGTACAGATATGGTGATCGATAAATAAAAGGCTTTCAAAGCCAAAAAGATCAAGGAACTTTAAGTACATGTCAATAAAAGTGTTAATAGAGACATCCCAAAAAGTGGGCTTTGTTAAAATACTCCTATCCCTATCCTACCTTCTACTGCCTCTCTATTTGTAAGCTTTCATGCAGAGCACCAGAATATAATGAATTTGTAAGTATGAAGCTCAGTCACAATACTAAAGTCGTTAGTTATTTACAAAATGCCATTTACATAAGTATAAAAGTAAATTTTGCTCCTCAGGACATGGTTAAGACGCTATTTTCTGTACAAAGCTATAATCCATGTAGTACTGAACATAAGCAATATTTACATAAAAAGGCAGTGTCTACATGTCTGACACATATTGATATAATGTCAAATTAAGTACAATTGCCACAGGACAACAAACTGCTGTCACAGTTCTCTTTACACTACTTTGCTACAACATGAGCACGCTATTGCTACAACATATTTACAGATCAAAGTACATATTGTATCCAAATTGGCAATTTGATCAACTTATTGCCCGTCTTTCTATCTATTATAATGCCAGTGTCAGTGTTCCAATGCTGGGTGCACAAAATAGTGATCAACAAACTGCAGCAAACATCATGTATGCATTTATCTAAATTTCAATCTAGCCTATCTACTTCAATTGTCAGTTTTTGCAAGATAAAATTTTGTGATGTACTCTGCTTGAATAAAATTTCTTGTATTTCACTGATTTGCACTTGTCCTTATGAAATGTGATGGACAGTGGTGCAGGCAATAAGTCTACATTAGACACAAGGAAATTTAAAGTAAAAATTCATTCTGCATACATATATATTGTACAGCGACAACATATCGAATCCACTTATCGTATAATACATTGTACATACTTCTACCACAGGAGATATGACAAGCTGCCAGTGTCTTTCCACTGACAAGTGCAGTTGCATTTGTTCACCTTTTAGCAGTCTGAGTAGCTTAGTACATGTAATACACCTGATTTCACTGTATACCTCGACTTGTACATCTTTGACTATGAAGACGAAATATATACCTGGACATGGATTTAACAGTGCTACAAAATCTGTAAACAGTGGAATAACATTTTCTAATGACAATTTTGAGTAATTAATGAGTAATTAGACCATCGGTATATGTTACATATCACTCTCTTCATTGAAAAGACCTTCCAACACCTTTGCAACAGATAAATACTCACGCAAGTACATATACTTTGTTTGGGTATCAAAAACTATCATAAGAATGTCTTCACTTCATGTACGTTTTTGCTCTCTCCTTCACAAGTACAAGCACCAACACTATAGGTTACTAGTAATCTTCTGTAGATAATAATTGTTGGTGTTGGCTGCCTGCCAGTGTAGAAGGAAATATACAGAAGAAAAACAGAAATACAGGTCAGCATTGACTGGGGAGGTATGAGTATATGTTTATTTAAGAGACTGCCACACACCTTGGCAGAAATTTGATTTTTAGCTACTCCATTATATATCTACAGTCTAACTGATGAACGAAACACTACCATGACCAGGCATTTTATGTATGTATGTTTTTGTCGTTTCCTTGTTTTCTATCGCACTAAATCAAAATACGCATATCCCCCCACCCACAACGTTTCTATACATGCGTCATCATTCTAGGTTTTTTGGCTGCCTCTGATGCTCGTGAGGCGCGGGAAGCTATGCTGGCGCGCTCGTAGGAGTGCTCGCTGACTGCGGGGTAGCTGGAGTAGTTGTTGTAGGGGTTGCTGTACAGGTTTCCGTTCTTGTAGTCCTGGTAGGTTCCACCAGGGGGCGTCCATGGGGGAGGTGCACCAAGGCTGGTCTGGAGAGGGCGAGAAACAAGTTTATAAAGCTGGTCTTTTATATGTGATTGGGCTACTGTAAGTGACATAGTCAAGCTCCTGATATACCTGTTATTTATTTAAACGCGACACCAAAAAGCAAACCTTACAGCAGGAATAAAACTCCCAGAATTACAAGAAGTTTGCATACACAAATTACAACGGACGATACATCCCTGATATACATTTATAGTACTTAAATTTTACTCCAAGCAAACCTTTTGACTTCTGTACATGTACAGATGAGGTTTAGGAAACATAAAGCATGACTTCTGACAGTTCTTTATTGTACAGGGTCATGGCCTGTGACCTCTCAATCTCATGTCCAGGAAGCCACTCTGATGATTGACTAATTAAGGCAAGTATAGCGGACCGAATCTCCAAGCAGGTCCTTTGGTGGTTGCAAGACAGTATCAAATTGGCAGGGCAGAATCCATGTAAAAAAGCAGAAATCCTGAAAAAAGGAGAAATCCTGACAAAAACAGCTAAAAATGTGTCAAAAATTAGCCTGTGTTCACACTGCAATTTCGTTAGATTAGTAACAAGGAAGCTGAACCTACATGTAAATCTTTGTTAACCTGAGACTAAACAAAGCCCACCTTTGAGGAGTAGTCCCTGTCGTCGTAGTCAGCTGTGATATAGTACTTTCTCTGGGGAGGGGGAGGGGGAACCTTGTCCTTGGCTGCTTCGTGGTCCCTGTGGATGATCTCAACCTTCTCCTTGGGCGGGGTCTCCTGCCCATCTGCTTAAGAAAAAAATAAAAAGATGAGAATTCAGTACAACTATCATTACATTTGACAGACAAAAACTAAGGTTTGAAGCACAATAAGGATATATTGTCTCATCTTTTTTATAGTTCTTTATTTAAATCCAACAATGATACGTGACAGCAATGTTCTAGCCAGTGTATCATTTGACGGAATTTTGCTGCTGACGAAATGCAGAAAATTGTGTTTTAGAGGGTCAAGGTTTCAAAATTTCCAAAGGAGCATGACTTCAAGGGATTGTTGCACCTACTGTTTCTAGTGCAACACTGTGGGCCTTCAGCATTAGACATGATGTTACATCAAACAAAACTGATATGGCAGAAAAAATTTAGGCTGGCTAAAACACTGTGTGACAAGTTTTGAATTAATCTCATCCCAAACAAAAAGGCAGGACAATGTAACATTTCCATTGGAATATTCTTCGCTCCCAAGCCCAACCCTGGTTAATGTGTACACAACATAGCATGGCCCTGAGGCATTCTGTTGAACACCAAACAGAGCACCTCTAACATGAGACCACACATAGGTCACAATTCACAAGGACACATACATTTGTAACTTCTGAACCTACCAGGTCATCTGTTGTGACAGGCTTGTAAAAGAAAAGAGAGGGTATACATAGAAGGAGAATACATAGGAAGACTAGAAGAACACAAGGTGTTTACAAAGCTTCCCTTTCCCCTTTTAAGTATTTCTCTGGTATATCTAAGTAATTATCCTCATCATAACTGCCATAGAAACGATTCCAACCTCAGATTCAACATATTTCTTGTTACAACTGCTGAGAAATGCTAGGTAACAAAAATGGGATGAAAAAGACAGAAAAAAAAAAGAAAGAGAAAATAACCCTGAAATAGGAAAGCTATTGGTAAAGACAGAGAAATGTTACAGGAAGGAAGACAGTCTTCAGTAAGATGTTGTTAGTTCTTGTCTGAGGGTAGGTATATGGTTTAGAAGACATGGAAAGACACAGACGTTCACTGTGGAATTATGGTGTTGAACTTATGATTGTTTCCAAAAATTTCCACCATGAACAAATCCTGTGAAGGAGACAGAGAGGAAGCAAGGCTACAGGCCAGCAAGAGTTGTGTTGCAACTAACAACAAAGGGAAAATCAGGAATGCTGACCTCGGACTTCCAAGCGTGTAATGGACTCATTGCTGGCACCTGTGGTATGGTGGGGGCAGGTGAACATGTGTTAATACACTGGAGTGGGGGTGGGGGGTGGACAATAACATGCATGGGCACACTGGAACATACAACAAGTGGGTTCACCATGTGTACATTCAATCAACTTGTTAAAATGTTATTCAATGGATTGAAACCCATGGCATTATGTACCATTCCCGATGATGACAAACCTTCCACATCTACTGTAATACCGGTAACAATGTTAACATGAACTGATGATGTGAGATGTGAAGTTACTGTACTTCTAACAACATTGTTACCTCATTCATAAAGTTCAATCAATTTTTTCATCTACATAACAACACAAATGCGTTTACCTGTCCCAATTCACTCTATAGTATATAAAGTGGAGTGGATTCATTCCTCAAGCTAACCAACATCTACAGTGTACAATGTACCACAGTCATCCCTCAGTAAGACATCTGGAGCTGTATAGTTCCCATTTAGAACTTTCATTCAGCCTGTCACTAACTGAAGTTGAGCTGTAGTCTGCACACTTCAAAGTCAGTTAGCTTGAAGAATGAATCTACTGTACTTGATACAGTCTTCAATTTACTCTGTAGTTACACACCAACACTTGACCAGCAGAGACAGTTAACAGTGGTGAACTCACCTTGCTTCTTTCTCCGCCTGTGACAGAACACAAAGACCAGCAGGACAATCACCAGGATCAGCACCAGACCTGCAACTGCACCTCCCACTATAGCTGCTAGGGGGAGTGGCTCTACAGTGGAATCAAAAGTCCAGTCAGATTGTGTGTTACATAGTGAACCTATATAGCCATATATAGCTAACTGTACAGACTAATAACTAATAACAAAATTCAAACAATAACTGCAGAAAATGACATTTGAGAATTTAAGAATAAAAATTGACAGCTAAGGTATGTAAACATGTGTCAACGGAAAAAGATTGAGCCAATATTTTTTCTGTTTTGAATCATTTACAAGAAACAGGAAGCTGCTTCAGTCCATGCCTGTCACATTCTCTTATTCATTACATCCATTATTGTATTACATCCATAGGTGCATCATACAGATTCTGATACCAAGACTGTGAAATCAAGATGCATGGCATTCCTCGAGGTTTAAAACTGCAAGACTCAACTTCATAGATACTTCTGACTGTTTGAGGTGTATCTGCATACAGTTCATTCCTTCAAGTTTAACAGAGCAACCCGTGGGGTTGAGACAAAGCCCTTTCTGTCTCAGGGTTATAATCTTGGACATCAACCCTAGTCTGTTCCACACCGTGCAGTTATACTCCGCAAAATCGCTGGCCTGCACTTTCGAGATGGTGAGCACGCTTAGCCTGCCCCCATGCACGTCCCGTTGCTCCGCGGTGAAGCGGCCCTCCGTGCCCGAGTCCAGCATAACGCCATTCCATGTCCATGCCATGCGGGAGGGAGGGGGGCTGTTGGAGGACAAGCACTCGATCTGCCCCTCGGCGCCGCTGGAAGCGTACTGCACTTCGAAACTGGAGATTATTGGTGGGCCTAATGAAGGGGGAGGGAGCAAAGGCAAGGCAGACTTTACAGCAAGGCAATTAATTAATTGGGACTAAAACACAAGTTTGTACGTACCTTGACAGACAAGTCCAGTGGCTGGCATGACCAGACATGACACAAGACCACCACCAGCAGTGGGTGGGAAAGACACAGGATAACAGTGAGTCAAAATAACAACTAAATGAACAATATAATGCATGTAAGGTTTATCAACATGTATCAATGATAAATGTAGTTTCATACAAACATTTACAAGAGAGAGACCTTCCAGTTTTTAATCGATGATAGGGATATTTCTAGTCCTGTCTGTTTATCTTAGCTTTGATGCCAGACTGTTCTGAGGGTTAATATACAGGACAACCCACAGTTAGAACCTGCTCAGTTTGAAAATGAAGGGGTTTGTGGTAAAATTTCTTTGGGGACATGTTGGCCCTGGAGCATATAGCCTGTATACTAGCCCTGGCAACACTGGCATCCAGTCTTTCTTTTTAGTTTCAGAAGAATTGAAGAGGAAAGATGGGTAAGGAAGAGACTGCTGCACATCCGTTCAGAGATTAACTTCTGGCACACTCATGGAAGAGCCTGGAACATGACTCTCACTTTAACACGAATTCACTTAGCGAGAAAAGAAGCAACCAATTTGGCAGCATGGAGGATCAACCACAGAGATACCAGTGGATAAACACTTAATCTTTCCTTCCTAGGAAATGCTCCAGACTGCTTTTATCTTTGTTCTAAGCTAGAGCACTTTAATTGTGAGTTCCAGACTTTCCAGCACATTTGCTAGCCTGGGTTCGTCGGTAGCGACTGTTCGGGAGCGGACGTAAACTAACCAGGATGGTACCCAGGCTACACATTTGCAACCCAAGCACTTGTATGGGTAGAAGCGGGTCAGTGCGAGTCACCTGTTAGCAGAGTCAATCTCTTTAAAGATAATAGCGCTGCCTGGGGCGAGGAATGCACCTCCTTACATTTTCTTCATTTCCTGTTGCTGACAGCACCATACGGGATCCATACTTGTAGCTGTTAGTGTTTACTACAGGTTGTTAGGCACAGGTTTTACCTATCTTTGGTGCAAAGCTGGAATCCTCTTATACCCTCCAGAGAAGGCCAATGACAGATACTCTTTTTGGGTTTACTCTAACTAGGTGCACCTGTTGTGTTGAGGAGTATTTGGTTTACTGTTAAACCAATGGTAGACAGTTTTCATACTGATTTCCATATTAGATCAAGTGAATTTTTCAGTAATTTTCATGAGTCCAGCAATGGATAGATGTTCAAGTCTTGAGTAAAAGAAGTTTACATTAACATTAACTTTTGGTTTGCAGCATTTGTTACTTAAAGATCAGCGGAAGTAACATTAATATTTTAAAGTAGGCAGCTGTTACAAAACAAGTCTGTTTTCTTGTACCTTAACAGTGTGTTCATTGTCATTATTATCATCAGTTGGACTTGTCATGTTTTCAATCTCCTGCCATTTCTGCACTTTGAAGTTGAAGGTTAACACAGGCCTAATGCATCCTGTGTAAAATATGATGGTTCTGCATTTTGTATCCTTCTGGTGACTTGTCAAACCCTGGGAGTTAAGCATCTATGGATGGAAGCCAATCTGATACATCAACCTAAGAAACAAGACATTGTTACCTCCATGAAAATGTAATCTTTTTGGTCTGTCTATCTGTGTGTGTTTCTGTATATTTGTGGTCAGCTTTTGACCCCCACCTCAGCTTCTGACCCTCACTTTTGCTTTTGAATGAATTGTGATGATATTTGGTATGTAGGTACATGTAGGTCTTGTGAAGACCAAGGTCAAGGTCAATTATGGGCTTCCTATTGGTTGCCCTTAGTACTGCAGCAGAAAGTCATTTTTTTCTTTACCTTTTGTCCTGGACATGCTAGGTAGGGCCTTGATATTTTGGTGGCAGATAGCTTTTTCAGTGAGGGAAAAAGTGTTGTAGGTTTGGTCTCCCTAGCAGCCTGTTCTGGAACTGCAGCGGTAATTTGGCAGAAAATCTTTCAAAGAGGTTGTCAAGAAAGAAAGGATGGAACAACAAACATAGAGGTGCGGTGGGTGACATGCCAGTAAAAATCACAGCACAATAACACTCTGGTGATCCCTGACTCCCACACTGTTAAACATAAGAGAACTTTTCTAACATCAAACTTAGAGCTGAAACAGATAAAAGAAAAGAAAGATGAACTTGGCTCACCGTTGACGACCAGCACCACCTCCCTGGAGTCCTCGCCTGACCCAGGCACCACCGCGGTGCACACGTAGGTGCCGGAGTGGCTCTGGTCCACGATGGGGAAGCTGAGCGTGTCTCCTGTACCCAGAACCGAGGAGGAGCCCTTCTTGGTCCACATGATGGTGGGGGGAGGGTTTCCGCTCCACTTGCACACCAGCGCTGCCGAGGTCCCTCTGTCCACAATAACCTGCCCAGTCGTCTTCACGATTTCTGGCCCGTCTGAAAAAAAAAATACAAAATTTCAAAATGTATGGTTTATGCCTAGGTAACAGTTACTCAGGGCAGGCAACTGGATAGATTT